TTAAGGCGTTCTTAATGCGCAACACATGCGGCGCGTCGCAATAAAAATCAATGATTTCTGACACGAAATAGGAAAACAGAAGTGAGAACAAACGATTTTAGGACTCGAAAACAAGCAAAAAAGTTCACCAAAGTAGGCAAATTAAAACTGGATCTGTTGTGTTTGAAGCACAAAAACCCCAGAAGATTAAACGTTCGCTGATAGAAAAGAAGCGTCATCACATGTATAGAATTTGCTAAATAAAGACTCCAACAGAAGGTCGTCTGGTCTCCGAGTATCGACTCTAAACCACCTCTCAGGAGGGACAACAAGGACCAAGACGGAGCAGCAGATTCACAGCAGACGAGCCTTTTAACCCGTGAAACTGGCACCGATGTCTCCAGGAATTGCCGTCTTCGAAGTACAACACGGCCTCCTGGAAAGTGTCACGACTCTCATCGGGTAGAATTCAGATTTTAAGCTCGACGAGGGCTCAACAAATACGCGGATTCTTCTTGAAACTGCAAATTTGAACGAAGTGTGACGTCAACAGGCGCCTTTCCCTGCAGCAACAAACTATTTACCGGATGAAACTCCATTTCTACGAGCATGTAGGGAGCAACGGAGGCTAGCATGTTGGTCGGTAGGTTCAACCAATCAGCAGGTGTCTCTCTTCTAACCTGCTACGTCACCATGGCAACGGATGCTGCAGAAGCGTCTCCCTTCAACCAGACTGATGATTCGGATTCTCAGCTGAGGGAAAACGTTTTTATCTGTAACAAACCTGTTGATCTGTTCGTTACTGAGACCCCCCGAGTGAAGCCGTGCAGTTACAGCATCGCACACTGGAAGCATCGTGTTGCCATGGGAACCAGACATGTATTCAGCTGGCGATGCAGAAATCACATAACTGCCGGGTGTCAGCTGAGAGAACACTGATTATTCTACTGGTGTTTGCTACAGAGAATATTCAATTCATTATGTTTGGCCTACAATTAGATTAATATCCTGCATTATGGGACAGTGTCAGAGCTAAATGCACTCCAATACAGCATCTTGTTCACATAAATGTAGTTTAAAGTGATCTACGGTGGAGGAAGAACCTTTCCCCGCTAAAGAGGTTCTACAAAGACTGTTCTTGCCTTAAAATAGCCGGCAAGTTCCTGCAGTGGAAAATGGCTTAATGACACCACAGTGGACCAAACCTACAGAGAGACGCGCTCCACCCTCTTGGTTTGCATCTCGGTGCAGAAGGATTCGTCAGACAACGAGCCTGAACGCACCTGAAGACCAAAGAGTGGACATTTATGGAGACACCCGAAGACCAAGAACGTTCCTGACATGACTAGAAGCTCTCTGGGACACTGTCACGTCGTGTTTTGTGGATCATCAGCTGCAAAACCGGACATCAAAACGCTAGAAATCCTTGATTTTATGGACATTGATGAAGGAGAATCTTGTGTTAAATTCAAGATAAAAGCAGAACACAAGCATCTCTGCTCGTCGTCTCAGGTTGCATTCATATTTTACAATCCTAACAGCTTGTTTTATGCATTCATGCCAAAGAATATAAAGTTCAGACGAGCCCTGCATTCACTCCTTTTCGGGATCTTTACACGCTCACTTTATCGCACATTTGGGTGAGTTTCAACATGTGCACGGATCCTCGTTCCACCACAGCCACCGCACACAGCTGGAGATGAAAGCAGCGTGTGGCCGAGACGCTCTTTGATCAGCGTCTGCTGCTGCTGCTGCTGCACAAAAACTCACACAGACGCACACGGCTAATGTAAAACACCCCGACATGTGGTCGCAGGCAGAGACAACACACACAGTGGCAGCGCAAGGAGAAAGCTGCCCGTGAATTTCAAAATAAAAGCGGGTTACTGTGTTGCTGTGCTGCTTCCCACCAGCAGGGGGAGCTGCTGAGTCACACGACCAGGTAAAAAAAAAAAGGTGACGCTTGCAAAATCATTCATGCAACAAACTGTCTCAGCTCTTGTTTAGCACAAAGACATGAGGGTGGTGTGAAAAACAAATCTCAAATTACTTATTTAACCCGCCGTCGAAGCTGGACGTCAAAGAAACAAACATTTCTAAGACTTTTTGACATCAAATATGACCTAATTGAACATGTTTAACTATTAAACTGAAAACAGGAAGGTAGAAAACTGGCATAAAAGAAAATTAACTGCAATTATTTGCTTCTACATCATATTTCCAGCTGTAAATAATAATGCTTCCTGATAATATGAGTGAAATTGATGTGATGTGGACCCAACTAATAACTAATAATAATGAAAAGTCGTCCAGAAAATAAAGAAAAAAACATTTTTCAAACAAACATGCTGAACATTTGCTTGTTTGGCTACAAAATAATCACATTTTTGTCACATATGATGCTAAATAAGTTGGTGACTGTGAGTGTTTTCATTATTTATTAATCTGCTAATTATTTTCCCAAATAACTGATTAGTTGTTTGGTCTGTAGAGTGTCAGAAAAAGTTTGATTGATGTTTGACGAATGTCTCGTTTTGTCCACAAGCCAAAGATGTTCAGTTTAGTGCCAGCGAGGAGGAAAGAAACCAGAAAATATTCACATTCAGGAAGCTGCAATCGAAGAAAATCCACTTCAGGAATTACTCAAACCAATTAATAGATCATCTAAATAGTTGGTGATTGATTTAATAATTGACAACTAATCGATTAATCGTTCCAGACAGTATTGACACCTTTTATTTTCTTACCATCTTCTGAGGCTTATTAAAACAGTGGATGGTTAATTTAATATTTGGTAATTACCTCATTAATCGTTGCAGCTCTGCAACAGAAAACATTTAAGACTACAAGAAATTAACTTTAAGACTCTTTAACAGCTTATAAGGCTGAAAATATTCACATTTAAACAGCTGCAGTCAGAGAAAATTCCACTTTTTATCCCTGAAAAATGACTCAAACCAGTCGCTGATTAATCTAATAGTTCATAAATAATCGATTAATCGTTGCAGCTCCACTACGGACACTCTGGACACCTTCTGAGGCTCATGAGAGAACAGCTACAGATAAAAACCTCAGACTTTCTCTGCTCTGGGGGAGAAAACAAAGTCCTGCAGCAGAAGCCTCCAGATGTTCGGCATCTGGCCGGTTAGCGGGCGAAGGTTGGACCTACCGCGGCTGTGCATGCCTCCGTCGTCGCGGCTACGAGCTGTGTCTCTATGGAGGGGCGAGGCCTGTGGGAGGAGGGAGGGGTCGAGACAGGAAGGAGGGGGCGAGCAGGGCAGCGAGGGCGGGGCTACAACCAGGAAGTGGTCAGAGACGCAGGAAGTGAGGGGGGGGTGGGCGTGGAGGGTTGGTGAAGGTGGAGGAAGTGTGGAGGCACCAAGTACAGCAAGGCAGAGTTCATTCCACGGAAACAAAACAACCCCCGAAAGAACACCAAAAAAAAAACACCAGGAGAACGTTCCGGAAGGAGATCGGTAGGCAGAGAATCAATGAAGCAGGTATTGATTCCAAACAGACAGCAGGCACGTCGGATGTGTTTGTGATTTTAACGTCATGCGGGAGGAATGGAAGAAAAACAAAGAGTCGGAAAAGTAAATCAGAAAAAAACAAAATAGAGGTGAAAAGGAGGAAGACGACGACACAAACACAAAACAGCACAAAACAAAAAATAAAGATTAGTGGCATTTCACAGTACAGATCAACCTGACATGCTGTTAGCATCATGTTAGCTCCATCAGCGGTTAGCAACACACTGGCAACGGTTAGCAAAAAATAAAAAAACAAAAATAAAAATAAAAAAGCCGAATGGTTGCCAACTGTACAAAAAAGCATGAAGTTTGCTACGATTCTACGACCAAAGCAGACAAGCAGAGACCATGACGCTGTCGGACACGACTGCTGCTTCCTTTGACTGTAATTATTAAATTAACAGATTCAAAACGAACCGCACGATGTCATCAGCGAAAAAATAGATGTTCAATGTTTGTGAATTTGGGGGGAAACTATTTGTTCGCCTCCTTTCGAAATCTAAATCGTTCCCTTTGTGTCTGTGAGACACTGAAGACTTGAGTTTGACGGCGATGAGCTGGAAGTGGTTAGCCTAGCTTAGCATGAAGGAGCTCTGCAACATTTAGGACCGTAGGAAATCAAATTTAAGGCTCTTTAGTGCTTTCAAAGTCTCAGACAGCTCTCGAAGATTAGTCGCAGGAACTGGACTCGCTTGAGTTCCTTGAAGACGTTTCATCCAAGAGGCTTCATCGGTTCTGACTGACTAGTTGGGAGATCCACATACTTATTCACACCGAGCCACAAAAGACCCTAACGAACCCCATTGTGGCAGGAGTTCTAACGACTCGCATAACGAGGGGGAGGAGCAACAAACCGCCAATTGAAACCAAAATCAGGTGATAATGACTCCTTTAGGATAGAAGTGTCTGGATCTCCCAACTAGTCAGTCAGAGCTGATGAAGCCTCTTGGATGAAACGTCTTCAAGGAACTCAAGCAAGTCCAGCTGCTACGACTAAATAACCATGATCTGGAGGACTGAGAATCTTCACAGACATCAGAGAGCAGTTAAATCTGATTTGTGGATTTAATTAGCATCAGATTCAAAAGTGTTTTGAGTAATTTTTTTTCAATCCAACTGTATAAATGACATTTTCAGGCCCTTCAGAACTCTGAACCACGTCTGAATTTCTTATTTCAATTGAAAAAAACAAACTTGGTGACACAAAGTTTCTCACCGAATAAATATCTGATTTTGCTCATTTTGCGTTTGCTAATTGAACCTTCGTTGGTTGAAATAAACACTGCAGACTTTGCATCGTTCATAGTTTCAGTGACATCCTGCAGCATCAAGGAAAATATTTGAGAAATATCCACGTTTTTAACAAGACTTGGGTCAGTTCATTGTTTTTTCTCCGTCATGTTTGACCCACCAGAACATAAAACACAATCCCTGTATCAACCCGTAGACGTGGGGGTCCCGGTACCCGACCAACCCTCCCGATCAACTCACCTGAGCGGGGCTTCAGTCCGAACGGCGGGCTGGAGAAGGACGGCGGGCCGCTGCCTGGAGACCTGTCATCTCGCTGCAGCGACAGAAAGGAAGCAAACATGGTCAGTTGTTGTTCTGTTTGTTGTTGTTTTTAAAACAGATGCTGGAGATTCTCTGTCCCGAGCTTTTACGTCAAGACACACAGACGTATGAAACGACGCCACAGAGATTCACACGGAAACACCAAGCTGTGCGTTTAGTTTGGAACTCGGGTTCAGAGGAAGACGCTGCACCGCCTCGTCCGTCATTCAGCTAACTGTCATCCAGCAGACACACAGATAGGCCATCCACAGCCAGAGAGACGCTTCGACACTTCAGAGAGCTGCAGCTGGACAGAATCTGAAGTGGTGCAGATACCAGACTGTGTCGTCAGCTCCTGCAGACGTTC